CCACGCATTCTAGAAGGACATACTGATTCGGTTAGAAATGTGACCTTCTCACCTGATGGCACCCAACTGGCATCGGGCAGCAACGACAAGACGGTGCGGTTGTGGTCTATTGAAAATTTTTTTCTGTGACCCCGCAAACATCTAGAGCATACTTATTGGGTTAATAGTGTGGCCTTCTCTCCGGATGGCACACAACTGGCGTCGGGAAGCTGGGATGCAACGGTGCGGCTATGGTCCCTTAAGAACCCCGATCAGGACCCTCGTGTCATAGAAGGACATACCTGGTCTGTTACAAGTGTGGCCTTCTCTCCGGATGGCGCTTATTTGGCATCAGGCAGTTGGGACAAAACGGTTCGGCTTTGGTCCCTCGAGAATCCGGATCACGATCCACGCATTCTAGAAGGACATACTAGTTACATTACAAGTGTGTCTTTTTCTCCGAACGGAATTCAATTATCATCGAGTAGTGTAGACAAAATAGTGCGTCTATGGTCTCTCGAGAACCTGGATCAGGACCCGCGCATTCTAGAACATACAGATCTCGTTAATAGTGTAACCTTCTCTCCAGATGGAACCCAGCTGGCATCGTGTAGTGATGGCAAGGAGGTGCGATTGTGGTCTCTCGAGAATTTGGATCAGGATCCACACATTCTAGTTGGACATACTAGTTCTATTAATAGTGTATCCTTCTCTCCGGATGGCACCCAATTTGCATCGGGAAGTGGTTCGTATTCTGGCTCTGACAATACTGTTCGATTGTGGTCCCTCGAAATCCGAATCCGAATCCACGCATTCTAGAAAGACATACCTGGTCTATTACAAGTGTGGCCTTTTTACCGAATGGTGCCTATCTAGCATCGGGCAGCTGGGATAAGACGGTGCGGTTGTGGTCTCTTAAGAATCTGGATCAGGATCCGCACATTCTAGGACACATTAGTACTGTTAATACTGTGACTTTTTCTCAGGATGGTTCCAAACTAGCATCTGGCAGTGGTTCACATTTTGGCTCCGACAATACAGTACGACTGTGGTCCCTCGAAAATTTGAATCGGAATGCACGCGTTCTAGAAGGGCATACCGGTTCTGTCAGGAATGTGACTTTCTCATCAGATGGCACCAAACTGGCATCGGGAGGTGATGACAAGACAGTGCGGCTGTGGTCTCTCAAGAATCCATATCAAGATCCATACATTCTAAGAGGACATAAATGGTCCATTACAAGTGTGGATTTTTCTCCAAATGGAACTCAATTGGCATCGGGCAGCTCTGACGAGACAGTGCGGTTGTGGTCTCTCGAAACCCTAGATCAGGATCCACGCGTTCTAGAAGGACACACTTGTAAAGTAACAAGTGTAGCCTTCTCTCCTGATGGAACTCAGCTATCATCGGGCAGTGAGGATTGTACAGTGCGGCTGTGGTCTGCAGTAACTGGTCTTTGTCTGGCCATTATTATCTGCCTGGTGAAGTTTATAGTCTTACTTGGCAGAATAAAAAAGCACGAGATTTTCTATTAACAGGTGGTAAAGATAAGATCGTTCGTTTATGGCATGTTAAAAAAATAGACGATCAAGCATCAAAAGTTGTTTTACATTGGACTTCACGTCAAAATATACTGTGGATTTCCAAAGCATCTATTCACAACGTGAAGTGTCTAAGTTCGATGAATAGGCGCTTCTTAAGGCAAAGGGATAAAAATGAAGACTCGGTCAATTAAGTCTTGTTTTATTTAACTTTAAAGTAATAACACTTTTTTATATTTTAAAATTTATTTTAATTAGTCAATCACTGTATATTTATGAGAGAATGATATCTGAAATTTCAGCTAGCATCCAAATTTCTAAATTATTTTTAGTACTTTTAGTAATTATCACATCGCCAAATTACTTTTTTACCCTTTCAAGGTGTTATGGTTATGTTGAGAATCGGAAAATACGTGACTTTTATCCCATGATTGATTTAAAGTAATGTTATAAATTAATATAAAACGTGTATTAAAATACTGTAATATAACGAACTCTGTCATGTCTAGCATACCTCATTCCAAGTATTATTGATAAACTTCTAAGACAGTTATTTAAGTATCTGTTCTTATTAATGACAGGCTTACTGGTTGACCGTCATAATAATTCATTCCTATCCATTAACGATGTTGGGTTTTTTGACATCAAGGAACGAATGGAGCGATTAAATCTGTTACCATTCTATCAATTTCGGTGATCAACAAAGGACATGTTGTACAGTGACTGATAATTGCAGTAGCAAATCCGTTTTTTTCACTATTTATTAAGACAGATAGTTGCTACTAACTAAATACCTCTAAAAATAGCAAAATGAGAAATTGATTATTGCATCCAAAGTTGATAAAAAAGTAAAAATAACATAAGAATATAATCTATCGAATTAAAAAAATAAATTGATTGTTTTTAATTTTTTAAACAAATTTAAAATAAACCAAAAAAAAAATAATAATAAATCGATCTAAAATATTGTAGGGTGATGATCGGCGAGTCTGTCGCTTGGATTCGTGTGACGATAGAGATAGTAAGCGTGAGTTATCAGCTCACGTTGATTACGTCACTGCCCTTTGTACATACCGCCCGTCGCTACTACCGATTGAATGGCTTAGTGAGACTCTCGGATCGGGTTTTAGGAACCGGCAACGGATCCTTTCTTCTGAGAAGTTTGTCAAACTTGGTCATTTAGAGGAAG